GAAAGCACAAAGGAACTTTTTTGAGACTTTTTAAAATTAAATTTTTTTTGCAGAATTTGGGAGTGGATTATACAATATGGGGCATGATGAGCCACGGGCCACACTTAGTCGAAATCTGCATCCTCTGTGGCTGTTTATAGAGTGGCCAAACTTTCCACGGCATGGACGTGTCCCTACACCCGCAGCCTTACCATCAAAAAATAGACGGAGAAAAAGCACCAAGGGAAGGAGAAGCGGAAGAAAAATGGAGGCAAAGGGGGGGGCAGGGGGAGAAAAAAGAATCGCACAGTATTATTTCATTTATATATATTTCAGCCTTATCACAGAAAGCCAACCGTGGGAAGCCTTGGCCTTTCAAAGGTTTTGGACAACAATTCCCATCATCCCTTGCCACCAGCCTGAGGAGGCTGATGGCCATTGTAGGCCAAAACATCCAAAGCACGGCTGGAATTTAGAAAGGTCATAAGACTCCTTCACCCTCTAAGCAACAATGAAATCCCCTACATGCTCACCTCGGTAAATGTTTTATCCAGCCTGGCAGCCAGTTGTCCGATCTCATACAGAAGGCGAGGGCTGACAGGTACCGTCGCCACTGTTTGGCCCGGCAGGTAGCTCAGGAGCCTGACCATGTAGGCTTTGGTGCCAGAGGGTGTCTCTGAGAAGCAAAGAGAGAGCCTTAAAGCCAGAAAGGAAACTTAGGAGCGGCTCAGACAAACAGAAGATGAAAAGGCTTTTCAGTTAAGATCATTCTTCCATGGGGAAAAAACAGCTTTCGCACATACAGTAGGATCCCCTGTATCCACAGGGGATTGGTTCAAAGTCCCCACGCGGATACTGAAACACGCAGATATAGTGAACACTATTCTAAGAGTGAACGCTACACAATGCGTCGTCTCTGGCTCCTAGTGGTCTGCTCTGTTACCGTCATGTTTAGAAATACGTATTTCTAGGATTTTTCTTTTAATATTTTCAGACCGTGGAAAAACGAATCCGCGGATACTAATCCTGTGGATAAGGGGTCCATACAGTATTGACTGATCTTGAGAAAGTTCCTTTTTTGGAGATTACAGCCAGCATGGCCAATGGATGACCATTCACAGAAGCCTTCTGCCAACATGGAGTATTATAGCAGAATCCCCCCACCCCAACGTCTGGGTATCATCAGTATCGGTTCATCACATGGACCACAACCTCCAGAAGTCCCATCCAGGATAAGCAAGGTCAAAGGGTTATGGGATTTGTAGTCCATCGCATCTGGAAGTCAAACCAACCACCCTTGGTTGGTTACAACATGTGGGTGCCAAAATTCCCTCCCTCTTGCTGTAGGCCAATAGCAAACCCATTCTTTATGGGGAACGATGTAGCCGAAACCGAACCACACCGCAACAGAGGGAAGGGTCAATAGGATGAGCGGAAACCTGCAAGAACAGTATGTGTGTGTTTTACATAACATGGATCTTATAAGAAACTGCTAGCTACAGATGTATTCACAAAGGTGTTCCAAGGGTTCCCCAAAACACTTTTAAGTTGTAGAATTTTCTCCCGGGTCCTATTCTCATCCACAGACCTATTGCTGAATGTTTTATGGCAACAGATTCCCTTTTGCTGGAAGGTGGGGAAATCACAAATACTGTAACCTTGGAACTCTGCTAAGCAGGTTCAAAGTCTAACCTTTCTACATTTCTTTAGAAGAAGAAGAAAATAAACAGACCAAGGGGAAAAAAGAGAGAGAAAGGAAAGAAATTAAAGAGGCTAAGCATACCATCTAGTTTTCTAGGTGTTCTGCTACAAAACGACAACTCCCAGTGATTACTGGATGATATTTCTAGGTGCTGTAGCAAGACCTCATCTCAGGACCCCCAGCCTTGGCTGCTAGTCGTTTTTTTATTTTATTTTATTTTAACAGAAGAAGAGAAAAAAGAAAGAAAAGCAACAAACCAAGTATAAAAGAAAAAGAAAAAACTGACTAACCCCTCAAATTAAACTAAACCCTCTCCCCTTTGGAGTCAGAGATTCCAGCCTCCTTAACCCCTCTACTCTCCCCGATTTGGTTTCCAGTATATACTAAGCAGATATACATATATCATAAATTTTGCCCTATGCTTCTGTCTTCTTCTGGGCCCAAGAATATATTAGTTCCCAGCTTTGTTTTACATAGTCTCTTGGTTGTTCCCGTAGTGCTTCTGATAGTGTTCAGTTCTGCTATGTCCCATAGCTTCTTTAACAACTCGTCTATCGTCGGAACCTCTTCGCTTTTCCATTTTTGGGCCCAGAGTAATCCGGCTGCTGTGAGTATATACATAAGACAATGCTTCAATTTATGATCATTAATTCCTGATATGACATTCAATAATGCCGTTTCAGGTTTTATATCTAATTTCTGCTGAGTACAGTGGTGCCTCACTAGACAGTTACTCCGCATGACAGTTTTTCCGCTAGACATTGACTTTTTGCGATCGCTATAGCGATTCGCAAAACAGTAATTCCTATGGGGGAATTTCGCCGGACAATGTTTGGTCCCTGGTTCGCAAACCGATTTTCGCTAGACGACAATTTGCTTTTCGCTAGACAATGATTTTGCTAGACAGCAATTTCAGTGGAGCGGATTGTCATCGTCTAGCAAGGCACCGCTGTACTTTCTTTTGCTAATTCCCATACCTGTGTCCAATAATTGCTAGTCGTTTAGAACTAAGATCTTTAGAAGAAGTCAGATGAAAGATAGGGTCTTACCTGGGCAGGGGGGGTCTAAAAGCCCCCCATCGTTGCGCAAGGAAGGACCAAGCATTTCTCCCAGGGACTCTCAGCTCCTTCCTATCAGAGGAGGCGAGACAAATCCGCTTTCCCCCTCCCCCGAGGAAGCTTGCACGGAAGCTTCCGATTGGTCGCGAGGTCCCGTTGCCCTTTCCAAACAGCTGGCCCTGTATATTCGCTATTTTTCTCCGCAGGCATTTCGGCTGATAAGACCGCAAGGGGGGCTCCGGGCGCCCCCCCCAAAGCAGATGCAATTCGGATTGGAGTTGCATCTGCAGCTCCAGAGGCACAGCTGCCAAAGCAGACGCAATTCGGATTGGAGTTGCATCTGCAGCTCCAGAGGAACAGCTGCCAAAGCAGACGCAATTCGGATTGGAGTTGCATCTGCAGCTCCAGAGGAACAGCTGCCAAAGCAGACGCAATTCGGATTGGAGCTGCATCTGCAGCTCCAGAGAAACAGCAAATAGTGCCCTGACACTCCGATCTGAAGCTGAATGTGCAAGTCTCGTGTGGCTTTGCTTCAAGGACAGAAGGCACCCTCTTCTGGCCCGATGGATTGATTTGATTCTTCTTTTCCACCTTCCTTTCCCCCAAGTTTTATACCATCGTCGCTTACCCCCCCAAAAAAGGCTTCTGTAAGAATTTGAAAGCTTCACCCGACTTTTTGTGACCCAATAAAAATGCTGCCTGACCCAGCCTTGATCTTAATTTTCTTTATGTCTGGTTTCCAGATGTTGAAGAAGTATAAACCAAACGGGGGCAGGGAAAATATTGGGAAAGGTGGGAAAGCAGCAGGAAAAGAGGAAAGCCAAATGCAAGGCAGACTGACTCCCTAAAGGAAACCACAGGATTGAGTTTGCAAGAGCCGAGCGGGGCTGTTGAAGGGCAGGGCATTCTGGAGTTTGCTCGTTTCTAAGTCGTAAATGACGGCACCTAACAAGAATCAAGAAGATTTCAATAACTGCCCGCTGGGTCAGTGGTTTAGGTATGGTTGAGAGTTCGATTCCCCACTGGGCCTCCTGGACAGGGGCTGGACTTAAGTGACCCATAAGGTTCATTTCCAGCTCTGCAGTTATTTATTTATTTATTTATTTATTTATATTTCTGAGATGAAGAAAATGAGCAACCCCATGTTCCCTGATGTTAGTGCTGAGGTCCCCCCCCCCCAAATGTAGTGTTCGATTTAACTGGAAACCTGACATGCCACTTCATGCCATTATAGTTCAATATATTGGTATTGGTCCTTGATGGCATTAAAGGCTTGACTTTCTGTGGAAGAGATTTGTAAATGTTGGCACCTTCTTTCTAAAATAATTTGATTAAATGAAAGGTGAATTGCACGAATCAAACCATTTCCAAAAAAAAAGCGGGCAACAGAGCCTTAGCAAATATATTTACGACAGAAAGGCTGCAAGAATGTAAGCAAACATCATAAGTTTTCCAATAGATTAATATAGGAAGGGGGAACAACATCTGGCCGAACAGTATTAAGAACGTTGTATGAAAAGAAGCCAAGATAGTTTAAAAATCTCTATCCACTTTTACAGACTCCTTGAATTAAATTATTCAGTACAACTATGTTCCAAACACTCTTTCTCCATAGAGAGATTAGACAGAAGGGGCCAACCTGGGTGTCTTCAAGGTAATACTCTTTAATACTGCTTCCAGATGCTCAAAAGGCTTTGCGTGCCTTCTTATGCAACTCTTAAGAAGGAGCTGACACTTTGCTGACTTCTGGTTTTATATAAATTAGTATGATTACTCCCCATTCTGCAGGTAGGGGACTGAAGTTGGAACAGAATGGCTTCCCTCCTAATGAATTTAGGGCAGAGGTCCAAAGTGACTGAAAATGTTTTCGCCAGCTTCTCTTTCAAACAGAAAGATAGAGAGGAAACATGACATCTCGCTATCTAAGCTGCCTTCTAAGGAATAGATTTATTTATACACGTTTGATCACTCAAAACTCTAACATGTGACCCGCTGTTAAAAAATTGCTCTTTGTATTAATAGGAGGATGTGTGTCTTGAGTTATACTAGATACCTCTTCATACAAGCTGGATTTTGCAGGTCTGATCCTCAGGCAATCAAGATGTTATGTGAACATGGACCCTCGTGTCTCAATGCTTCAGGTTATCACGACACTGATTTTCAGACCACCTGAGTGAAAGCTGAACACTCCGCGAGCACCAGAAGAGACGGCACAGCTTCCAGTGGATCACATTTTATTGTACTTTGTGATCTTTGATAACTGCGGGAGTAGTTTAAGGATCTCCCTGCAGAGCCAGAGGTTGGGAGTCTGATCCCCCAAGTTGTACCTCCTTGAAAGGGGCTAGACTTGATGATCCAGAAGGATCCTTCCGGCTGGACTTGATGATCCAGAGGGATCCTTCCAAGCTCTGCAGGTCTAAGATGATCTTGAATGACCACTTGCACCTATGCATTCGCTCATTTGATCTGAGATGCTTCCAGATGTTCAAAAGGCTTTGCATGCATTCTTATGCAACTTTTAGCAGGAGGCTAGAGGTAGACAGAGATTTCGTTGCACTGAAAGAAAACTTGAAACCTTGCAGATATATCTAGAATCAGATCCTGGATGTCTCAGAAATCACTATCAAACTGAGATTTGAGCTGAAGGTGGCCAAATTTAAGAGTTAGGGTGTGCTGAATGTTACCTGATGTACAAGTCACACTGAGAATTGTTTGCAATGTACAGTTTGAGAGGTAACTGCTGTTCTATCACTATCAAACTGAGATTTGAGCTGAAGGGTGGCCAAATTTAAGAGTTAGGGTGTGTTGAATGTTACCTGATGTACAAGTCACCTTGAGAATTGTTTACAATATACAGTTTGAGAGGTAACTGCTGTTCTGCCTTTCAGTGAACTTCAAGTACAATTAATTACAGAGATGATCCGGACAGTGAAGTCTCTTTTTTATTTTATGATCAAAAGAGGGAGAATGTAAGTGCCAGTGGAAAAACATGCTATGGAGGAGTGAGGCGGTAAAAAGAGTAGCTGGGCTTGATTGGTCTTACTGGTCAGCATATAGATACATTCTAAAATAATCCATAAAACTTAAATGGTAGCCTTCACAAGCCTCAGATGTGATTTCTACTGCTTTCACATAGGTGTCTACATCTAAACAGGACAATAGATCTGTGACTGTTACTTAAACTTAGCTACTTTTCCATAGTTGTCATTATGACATTTATCCATCAACCACTGAGATGGTTTGCAGTAAGAAACAGATGCTGCTGAGACAAGGTACAGATTTCTTTATTAAAAATAATTTACATCAGTTAAACATTTTATGCACAATTGTCAGCAAATTGAGCTTTTTCCTGTAAGATTTCTATACAATACACATTAGTGACTTTAAAACCATTATATACTGTTGGCTTTAAAGGAGCAGACATTCGTTTGCAATTGCTTAAGTATGAGTAATGAAATGTATTTTTAAAATCATTTTTGTAGGTGTTTTAATTTCTCAACTTGCCACACCCTGCCGAATTTGGTAACAGAGTTAATCAGAAGGTTTTTCCTAAGGATTCTTTTCTAAATCAAAACTGAAAGGAGATCTTGACGATTTCTGCGATTTTATCCTTCTATGACTTAAGCAGAGCTTAATTTGTGAATGTATCCCAAGCTTTGATGAGTGAAATGTATTGCACCACTGCTAAGGAATGGGGGAAAAAAACTGAAATAGGTGGTTTTCTTGCAAACCAACGGGATCACACAGAGTTGGTTCGCATATCTGAAGAGCAGGTAAATATGTCATTATGCACTTGCCTTTTGGGGGACAGCTTTTCTATAATGCAGGGGTGGGAGTGGGGGCAATTGGCTGTCCAGATGTTGTTGAATTCCTGTCAACCCAAATAGCATGGCTGTTGGTCAAGGATGACAGGAGAGGCTGCTCAACAAGATTTGGAAGGGACCAAGTTGGGGAAGTCTCTAGACAAAAACTCACTTCTGCCTTTATCCATCAGGGAGGCATATGTCCATAATGTAATCTATGGAGTGGGCTGCGCCCATATGCCACAGAAATCATAGGCAAAGCCAAAACCTAGATATGTTGACAACATCCTATTGAGCTCCATGGGAATCACTTCCAAGTTTCAAAACAACAGAACTTGCTTTCTGAAAGTAAAATCTTCCCAATCTGGACAGGAAAACCAACCAACAGTAGAGATCTTTGCATAACCCTGGCAGGGTTTAAGTTGGACCACTTTTCTCCAAAACAGTAAAGCCAGCTTAAACCTTTGCAGTCACATACACACCATGTGCTGGCCACAGTTGGGGGCAAGGAAACAACTACGACAATAGGACCCACATAACTGCAGGATCAGTATCCACAGTTACACTTATACACAGTCTGAAAAATAATTTTTTTAAAAAAACCCAGAAAACCTATTTTTACATGTATTACCAGAGACCATGCTATGAATACTTGTTAGTGAAGAATACACAGCATGGTGTCTGACTTCCTGTAGTGGCCAGTTCTGGTAGTGCATGTGAAAATAACTGTTCTGGTTCCCCCACACCACTTCTACCATGATTCACTATTATTTGTGGTTTTCAGTATCCACGGACGGGGGGGAGGGAGGCTTGGTACCAATCCTCAGCAGATACAGGAGTCCTACTGTACTCCTTTCCTGCCCCTGATCCTCACTGCACAGGAGAACACAGCCAAGTATAGGACAATGAATTTGAGCTGCTTAAAGAAATGTTATTGATTCAAGCATCCGCACAAAAAGCCCCAATGAAAACTTTTTCAGTGGCCTTCAATTTCATCATATTGTTGAAAGTGTGGCTCTTCGGATGTCTTGGGCTTCCACGGGCAATGCTGGCTGAGCACTGCGGAAGTCCAAATCATCGGATGCACCACAGCTGGAGAACCGCTGCTCTACTGCTCTTGTCTGTCATGACATCAAAAGCTGGAAGGGTTGTGAGAACCTGTGCTTGAACTCACATCACAAACATTTAAAGACACAATCATGCCTTAATGTTCTTAATTTGGAGCTAAAAACCATGGATTGCGTTCTTTCAAACATGCTACACCTTTAGTGGTGCACATATTAAGGCCACAGCCTCTTGTATTAACAACACAGGGGGTCCCACTGGTCTGGACAAGTTAATTTAGAGATTAGTGTCTATGAAGGATCCTTAGTTATAACGATATGTGGCGGGCCAGAATTGCATCTCCATGCATGCTGTTCAAACATTAACAGAGATGGGACCTGTGTCAAATTACTGACAGTAAATCAAGAACAGCTTTTGCCTTCAAGGATGAAGCAGGCCCTTCAAATGTGCTGGATTGACATGTTATCGTATCCTGTAGAACTGGAGATAAAAGACTGAAGATGTTTATCATACACTCCCTACCTGAGAGTAAGTGGGGCTCAAAAAGGTTTACACAGAGATGGCTTTTGTTTCAAATCAAAACTTCAGCGTTGCCACTCAGCCGTGGGTCTCATTATTTGAGTCCCCCGCCTCCCACACCAAACTTAAAATTTCCAAATTAAATTTACCGCCAGACCTCAATAAATCCTTATGTGGTATAATATTAACTAGAAGTACATAACATATTCTTTTACATGAGGTAACTGCTCCATGTACAATAGCTGAAATTGACTTTTTAATTACCAAGAACATTTCCTGCAACAACAACAAAATCCTTATACGGCAGAACCAAAATTACTGCATACATCTGGTGGACGAGTCAATCCTTAATTACAGGTTGGGTTTTTTTTTAACTGTAAATTGCCACAGGCCATGTCACAAAGAAAAAACATTTTTACAAGGTACAGAGAACTTAAGAAAGAACTTCATAAAACCTAATGAATATCCACCAGTTTCCTCGCGTCCCCTGCTGGGATGCAGAATAGACCCAATTATGGCAAGGAAATTTTATCCTCCAGTAATTGCGACAGAATATACACCATGTCAGCAACCTGATGGCACTGTTATAATAGGCAGCTTGGGCTAAAATGCACACATTTTGAAGAACAGATCGATCGCCTGTCTGGTTAAAAGAAGCACAAGGCTGCTTCAGCCACTTAGATGGCTATATACAGACTACTTTACGCCCCATGTGGTAAACCGAGACAAATGAAAACAGAGCAAGCTGAAACCTGTTGCTGGCACTCCCTCCTGCCAGTGACAGCTGGGGCAACTGGCTGCCTTTCGTCTCTCCACTGCCCAAAGCAATCTGAATAAAATGACTGCTGGTTTAAGCAAAGAACCAGGTTAACCCAGCTAGAGTTCACGCTGGCTTTTCATCCTAAACTCAGGTAGAGTTTTGGATGGAACAACAGCTGCATTCCTACAGCAGTCTTACTTATTTGCACCCATTAGTATTATTTTTTTTTCCAAAAAGGGATGCTTTTTCAGGCTAACGACCTTCAGAGCAAACAATTCGCTCAAGATTCTCCAACCTCATGAGATAACTCCCATCATCCTCAGCTAGCTGGGGCCATGGGTGGGATGGTGAGAGTTGCAGCATGGCCCGTCAGCTTGGGGAAGATTGTCGCAGAGTGTGTATGTATGTGTGTGTATATACATACACAAACACAAACACACACACACCATGGTGGGCTCCCTTACTCCATGGCCAGCTAAGATCTTAGCTTTTGAGTTTTGGAACCTGAATTCTTGAACAAAAAGGAAACTTCCCACCTTTAAAATCCCAGGCCACATGATGTGATTGATGCCCTCAAAGGAACAGAGAGAAACAGGAAGTTGAAAGGTGTCAAAACGAAGGGGGGGGGGGAAAGTAACTGCTAAAAGCTGTCCTCCGGCTTAAAATTTTTCACAATTCATTTTCATGGTTTCACATCATTTATTTACAAAACGGTCTACGATACCTCCCCCCCTTCTTTCCCCATACTTACAGACTCTCTTCCAGAACACGCACATTAAATTTTCAGCAATGTCAATATAGCACCATTCGAATATTATTATTTTTTGTTTAAAAAATCCAACAAGATCTTGCTGCGGTCACTACAACAATTCACAATCTTTTACAGTCCATGGACGAAGTATCTGCACGCAGCAGAGGTCTGTGGAAGCCGTCGGGGGCTTGGCCACGTCTGCACAATCCCCAGGGTATATGAACAGAGGGCTCTACAAGAGCTTTCGAACCATGTAGTTCAGAATCCCGCCATGTTTATATAATGTTATTTCAACATCACTGTCAAAGGAGGCGAGCACAGGGAATACTTTACCTGTATTTGTCTTGAAAAAGAAGGAAAGATCAAAGGAACAATTAGGACTGTGATGTAGTCAAATGTCTCTAAACTACTTAAATTTTGGACTCTATTCACAGAAGCAACAGAATGAGTTGCTCATACTCCATCATTTAAGTTGCAGGTGCCCTGTTCGCATTATTTCAGGGTAATCAATTCACTGGATCATCGTATGTTGGACATGATTTGATAGCATTTAAAAACAGTATCCAGGAAAGCCAGACACTTAATAGAAAAAGCCAAAGCTGTGAAAAGCACAGAGGATTTAAGGGTATGCATGTGATCTGCCTCTCAACAGGAATGTAGGATTGCTATGATCCTCAAAGTTGTGATTCATATAATTTCCTCTAAAATTCCACTACAAGCTATGAAATCCAAAAGTACAGTCATAAAAAACCCCAAACTAATATGTAAAGTCACCTTTCTGACAAATTCAATTCTTTTCTCCTTCAGATTGCAAACTATGGGCTCCATCCCCAACTAAGGTAAAATTACTCAAATGGATGGGACACGTTGGCCACAAGCAATGTTAAGTTCTGCTGGTTTCAATACTCTGCTCTAGTATGGGGTGGGGGATACACATGGGGTTAATGCTATACATCCTTAAGATGTTTCTGAGGCTGAAATGGGCCATCCAAATGCATGCCTCTCCCATCATGCTGATCGGCATCAAACATTTGAAAGTTCTTTTGAAGGAAATCCAAGGAAATGAGGAGAGCGAAGATGCACAACAGAATAATGTCACTGGACAACACTCACTTCTTTCTGCCATGCCAAGGGGAGAAAATGTCTTGCAGATGCCATGTTGATCAACAAAAAGGAGAACCCCTCCAGATAGGTCAGATGTTATATCCCTACATTCTGCTGCCTCCCAAATTTGTCTGATACAGATGCTGTCCCTTGTCTCTGTACAGCTATTAGGATGCTCCTTATCAAATGCAGGAAGCAGCCCTCATTATTTATTTTATTTTTATTTATTTATTTGATTTTTACCCCGCCCCTCTAACCATGTCTACTCGGGGCGGCTTAGATTTTCCACCACTCAAATGATCATGAGTAGAGAAGGGCACGAAGCACCGGTTCGGTAGTTTGGCGCGATCCCTTTCCTGGACAAACAGCAGATCCACGGTTTGGCACCCTGCGCCCTCCAGCGGGCAACACCCCCACATCATCAGGCACTGCCGTGGGGCACCAAACTGCAGATCAGCTGTTCAGCCGGGAAACTAACCGTGACGAATCAGCAGCTCCTGCCCATCTCTAACCATGAGGCCAAACCTTCCCGTTCTCTTTCAGCTCCTGCTGAGCTCATAAGCTTTCTTAATGGGATACAGCAGCTTTTAGATTGTCTTAAAATCTCTAAAACATTGAAGTCTCTTGCACTGCTGAATTTCCATCTCTACCGCACCTCTCTAAAAGCATCCGCTGTAAGCATAAAATCATATGGAACGAGTGTGCAGCATATATGCCGACGTACCTTTCTGGTGGCAGTTTCACAAAGGACGGGATTTAAGACTTGTTTTTAAAAAGGAAACAAAAAAAATAGATTTAGATATTACAATCCCCCACTGATGGAAATAAAGTCTCCGGTACCTTTACATTGACGGTGATTCCTGGGGTTAGCTCTTGAGGAAATGAGACAGAAAACTGTTCTCTGCCCGTCAGGCCCAAAACTTGCGCATTCTCCCCAGGGAGAAACTGAAGAGGAGCGACACCCATTCCAATCAAATGACCTTTATGGATCTTCTCATAGCTTTCAGCAATAACGGCTCTCACGCCCTGCAGAAACAAATAGATCAGATTTTGATGAGGTCTAGCTGTCTAAGGTGTCCACAATGTGAAATACAAGGGGATTTGTGTTTTCCTGCAATTTCAATGAACTGGAGAATGAGCTGGAGATTTCATGGTTCTAATCGATTTCAATGAACTGGAGAATGAGCTGGAGAGATTTCATGGTTCTAATCAATAAAGCCCTAAATGGCCTGGGCCCGAGCTATCTGGAGGACCACGTCGCCCTTGATGAGCCTGCTCGAGTGTTAAGATCATAAGAAAAAGCTTTTCTCCGGGTCCCACCACATTCACGGGTGTGTTTGATGGAGACATAGGAGAGGGCCTTCTGTGTGGCGGCCCCCAGTCTCTGGAACTCCCTCCCACTGGGTGGTGTTTTTATATGGATTTGACATTCACGGGTGTGTTTGATGGAGACATAGGAGAGGGCTTTCTCTGTGGCGGCTCCCAGTCTCTGGAACTCCCTCCCACTGGGAGGTGTTTTTATATGGATTTCTGTGTGCCTTGTTGCTCTGAATGTGTTTTTTGTAATGATTTTGTTTACTGTTTTCATATCGTAGTTGATTGATTCTTTTTAAATGTTTGCATACTTACTTTCCTTGTGTGTTTGATGGAGACATAGGAGAGGGCTTTCTCTGTGGCGGCTCCCAGTCTCTGGAACTCCCTCCCACTGGGAGGTGTTTTTATATGGATTTCTGTGTGCCTTGTTGCTCTGAATGTGTTTTTTGTAATGATTTTGTTTACTGTTTTCATATCGTAGTTGATTGATTCTTTTTAAATGTTTGCATACTTACTTTCCTTAGCTTTGAAATATTACCCTTACACTAGGCAGGGTAATATTTCAAATAAAATATTTCAAATAAGTAAATAAATAAGTAAATATGTTAAAATGTAAGCAGTCACTGTTGTAGAAACAGAGAGTTCAACTAGATGACTACCCCATAAATAACATAAAGTGGCCCATTCAGCAGAATAATCTGGTCCCTCAATAAGACAGGCCTACATTAAATAATTGATCAGAAGGACCCTAATCTTATAATTGTGGTTCTGATTTAAGAACTAAACTGACAAGAGTGAAAGACTAATACCTGCATTTTTGAGAGAGGCAGATTCTAAAAAAAATCAAAAAGGATCTAACAGGAACTGAGCAGATTGAAATAATGAACACTTCCAGAAGGTCAGAATGCAACCAAGTTAATGTTAGGCTCATATACCAGTAAAAAAGGTCCTTTTGCAACCCAGTCTCTGGAGCTGCCCTGGCCATACTTTGCACCGGCCAAGATGATCAGAGGGATATTCTCTTTCCGATACAATTCAGCGGCATCAAACACATCCAGCTGCAATGAGAAGAGAGAGAAAATGAGAGAGAGAGAAAGACAGGAGCGAAGTCCCAAGACATCCCTCATAGGCAGATGTCCAATAATGGCTTGGTTTATACAGGTATTTTCCTCACCGTCTGTCCGGTTGGAAAATGGATTGTTTTAGGAGCTGGTTTCCCAATGAACTTATTTAAAAGCTTGATGTTCGCAAAGGTGCCTCTTGTCATCACAGCGTCATTGCCTCGCCGAGCTCCGTAGGAATTGAATTCACGGGGTGTGAGACTACAAGATATCAAAGAAAAGCGTCAAAACCTACAGGCCACTTGGAAGTGGATTCTGTCCATTCCTATCACGTTTAAAAGGCATTCCTCTGATAGCCATAGAATACAGATCTCAGTTCTGGACAGAACGTGCCAGTTTTATGTAAACAGAAGGCACCAAAGCCATTCTCTTCTCATAATATATTGATACCACAGCTCAATACACACACACATACGCACACCCAAAAGAAAAAACCTCCTCACCCTTTATTTGTCAAGTATCTGGCTGCAGCACTGCCCCTTGCAATGCTTCCGGCAGGCGAGATGTGGTCTGTCGTGACGCTGTCTCCCAAATATAACAAGACATGTGCGTTTTCAATTGACTGGGGCGGAGGTGGATCTTTGGCCTGTCGGGTGAAATACACGAACGGAAATAGATCAACTGAACAAACCCCTTCCTTAGCTGATTTTTAGAGACGGGCACGAACCACAGTTCGGCGTTTCATGCCAGTCTGGCCCTCCGGCCGCACAGCTGTTTCATGGGTGGGCAGGCTGCCTAGCCCTGCCTCCTCTGGCAGGCGCCCCACTCAAGAGGCCAGCAGTGTGGCTTCCCAGCCCTGCCTCCTCCAACAGAAGCCCACTCAAGAGGCAGGATCCACTGGAAGAGGTGGGGATGGAAAGCTGGGGTGCCCACAGAACAGCTGTGCAGCTGGAGGCCCAAACCAGCACTGACCACTGAGCCGGTGGCTTGTGCCCATCTCCACTGGTTACTTACAAACATAGAATAGAATAGAATAACACTTTATTGTCATTGCATGTGCAACAAAATCACCAGAGTGCTATCCAGACAGTGCATCATTCAGCTAACACTCCATGTAAACTCCTTACAAAATTCCAACATAACACAACAGCACAAAATACATTCACATGCAAGCCTACAGTTGTTGTTGTTTAGTCATGTCCGACTCTTTGTGACCCCTGGACCAGAGCACGCCGGGCCCACCTGTCTTCCATTACTTCCCGGAGTTGGGTCAAATTCATGTTGGTCGCTTCGATGACAACAATAAGTCAGATTAAATCTTATATGGACTCACAAACATATTGGGACTCACAAAACTGACAAGCATCTATAAGATGTACTTTGATTTGCATTCGTGCAATGAGCAGGGGGTTGGACTCAATGGTCTTCCAATTCCATGATTGTGATTTTATTATTTCTTTTCAAAAATGAAAATATATGAATAATAGAATTAAGAATTTAAAGGTGCAGCCCTATTTTGATTCAATCAAACAATTCATCCATCTTTCTAGTAAAACAGGGTCAGGAGAAGAATGTAGATCTTGATCTACTGGTAGAAATCTGTGTGATCTGAAGTAGATGAACAGGGATTTTTAAAACTCATAACAATATAAACACAAAAGAAATCCCCCAGGCCCTAAATTATAGTTCTGAAATGAAGGAAGCTTGGAATAAGAAGGAATGGATTTTTATCTAAAACTAAGCTTGATTTATTTCTGGGATTTGAAACAAATTCTTAGGCTCTTTGTTCCATATATATGTTTTTGGACCTAGTGGAGAATAAAATCTAAAGCAGATACCTTAAGCCTAAAATCAGCCCACCTTCAAAGAAGTGCCTTCTTCTACAGACAATAAGATATGTCTGAGAAACCTACAAGCACTGCATTGCTGAGATTCAGTATAACCAAAGCACAGCTATCTGGCATTGACATGCTTACAAGTTTATCAAAAAATGAAGGACATCGGATGTAAGTAGATTTGGAATCCCAGGTAAATAAAACTGATTCAGGCGCTTCCAGAGAATTCCATCGCTTATTTCCTTTCTGGGGGGAAAGAGAAAAAACAGAGGAGAGGATTTGTAATACAAATCACTTAAAAACTTCATTTCCAGCCACTGTTTCCCTTTCTCATATCCAAAATTCCTGTTCCTGGACAATAATGCCCTTGAAAACAAAACAAAAAAACCCAATACAAAATGAAGACTCTTTTCCCCCCAAAATGGCTGTTCCTTTTTAATTCTTCCACATTTCTTCCCTGCTTCTCTCTACCAAAAATCATTACAGAAGGAATGAGCCAATTTCAGAATATGGACCAACAATTTAAAAAAAAATATCTGCCTTGACACAACAAGCCATCAGTTAAGGAGGACAGTCACTGCTGTACAATAGTTATGAAACTGGACTAGGACTGAGGAGATCTGAGTTCAAATCTCCTTTCAGTCAATAAGTTTACTGAACAACATCTCAGCCTAAGAAACCTCAAAGCTTTCTTTTTTGCTGTGAAGCCAAAATGGGAAAGATGAGGAATCACATACACAAGTACTTGTTGGAGGAAAATCAGATTATCAGTATAACACATTATGAACAAACATGTATAATACACAATGATTTCACTGTTAATACTCCTCTTCTACAGAGTCGTCTTTTAGAGGTATTGGATGCTAGCAGGAGACATTCTGCCTATGATATATTTAGATACAGTATTTTCTGCCACAAACGTGATGCCCAAATTGATGTACAAAACACGGGAAAGGTATTTAATTGTAAACGAAACCAATTAGTCCGGGGTACAGGGTATTTTTAATGGATTTCACCATTTTCATACTGTTATTACTTTTCAGCTATTTGTTTCATTGCATTTGTTTTCAATGTACACTACTTTTGAGCTTTTTTTTTTTTTAAAGGAACAGTGGTGTAGAAACGCACTATGAAGGAATTAGAAAAGAACCTTAAGGCTAAAATCACCCGTGGTATGGTGTTTCCAATTACTATGTATGGATCCGAAAGCTGAATAATGAAGAAAACCGAGAGAGAAAAAAACTGATTCATTCAAAAGGTCGTGATGGAGGAGAATTTTAATGCACTGCCAGAAAAACAAATACGTGGGCATGAGATCAAATCAAACCTGAACTCTCTCTAGAAGTTAAAATGACTGAACAGAAGCTATCATATATTCTTGAAGCCTTTCACGGCCGGGATCTAATGGTTGTTTTGGGTTTTTCGGGTTCTTTGACCGTGTTCTGAAGGTTGTTCTTCCTGATGTTTCGCCAGTCTCTGTGGCCGGCATCTTCAGAGGACAGCACTCTGTGCTCTCAAGATGTCCTCTGAAGATGCCGGCCACAGAGACTGGCAAAACATCAGGAAGAACAACCTTCAGAACACGGTCAAAGAACCCGAAAAACCCACAATAACCATCAGAAGCTATCATACTTTGGGCATATTGTGAAAAGACAAGACTCGCTATAAAAGGCAATGATGTTGGGAAAAGCTGAAGCCAGTAAGAAAGGAGGAAGAATGAATGTGAGATGGATTAGCTCCATTAAGAGGACCACAGTGTTTGTTTTGGAAGACGTGAGCAGATTTATTTATCCTGCAACCTTCTGGAAATCACTAATTCATAGGCCCTAATCTGGAAGCAACTTGAAGGCACATTAACATAGAAATGCTCTAAAATCAATCAATTTTTTTAAAAAATCAGAGTTCTAATTACTTAAAGACAAATTACCTCCATTTTTTCCTTCAGCTCTTTGAACATAGATGCTATTACTAACTCTTCTTCCACCTGCTGAAGTTCTTCCCGTGTGGGCCAAATATCATGCAAAAAGAGTTCTTTACCATCAGGATTGATCCCTAGGAAGAAGTTTTGCACACGGTCAACCATGGTTAATCAGCAGAAGCTCCACATACAACATACAAAATTTGTAGTCTTTTTATAAAGTACTACAAATTATCAAAGGCTTCTCTTGCAAATAATACACATAATTTACATGTACTTCCAGTAATTTACATGTACTCTGGAAAGAACAGGAGAAATTAAATACACTTCCCCGCCAGCTATCATTTTATATAGAAGTCGCAGAACACGTTTGCAATGGTTAGCTTTGTTTTCATGCTAGAAATACCAAAAGGCAGAGCAGGGATTTTAAGGACTGCAAAAGCTAGACCAAAAAGTGTATGAGAGACTGGGTCAAGGGTGTCAAGAATATTTGTCTCTCCAGATGTTATTAGACTGTAACGGCCATCATCATTCAGAATTGGCTATATTGGCTAGGGCTAAATGATACAATTGTCCAGTAACACTGGATGTCCCTCGTTCCCACCCGACCACCCACGATCTCCCCATCGTTGAACTGCTGCTCGTAAACAAGAAGGGTGTGGCTAGAGTACGACAGGTGGAAACACAAGGTTGCAATTCAATAGCAAACAGGCAGGTAGTTACCTAACGGCTCAGTCTGGAAATCAATGTTCACAGTTCCCGCTATCGCATAAGCCACCACCAGAGGCGGAGAGGCGAGGTAGTTGGCACGGACGCAACTGCAGAGACGGCCTTCAAAGTTTTTGTTCCCCGACAAAACCCCGCAAGCGACCAAGTCACCCTGAAAGGGAGGAAGGAGACGGTTTCTCTGTGCTCTCTGAACTGTCATGGTTTGCTTGAATTCTTTCGGGAAGGGAGGTGTATTAGTGGCAATTTTCAAAAGCTGAAGCGTCTCTCTTGGAAATACAACCTAAATCCAATAGCTAGTCCCCCAACTGGAGCTGATTCACTGAATGAACAGCTCAGGGGTAAGATGGCCTGTATGAACATCACATTATGAAATATGTCGATTACAACTGGGAATACGAGCGGCTGGAATTGGGCCAAGAATGCTTACTCCCCCTTCTTTTGTTCCAAAACTTCCCCCCACCACCAGAATTTGCAGTGAAACAAAATGGCATGTTATCGATCGGAGCCTCTTTCCCTAAAGTTTATTCTGCCATCAGATCCTCTCAAAGTAGGCCCCTCTGCGTGGCTACGTTGAGGAAAGCCAGGAATTCTTTCACACAAAAAATCAGACCTTCTCAGCGGTGGCCCCCTCCCTGTGGAGCTATGCCTTTCTTCCTGCTGCTGAAGATGCTCCTCTTTTGGGAGGCTTTTAGAAGCAGCCTCTTTTGAAGTTTTCCACCCCTATTCCGCCGCTCTAACTCTCTGCCCCTTCTGAGCTGATGCAGGGTTTTTCCTATTGTTTTATATTAGATTGGGGTTTGTATTAAACTTGTTGTTTTATGTAAACCACCCAGAATAGTGCTGTGCACTAATGGGGCAGTATAAAAGTTCAATCAATCAATGGGCCTCTAGTTCTGCAGATGACAATGAATGCATTTTAATATTGTATCCTCTTTCCTGAATGCTTTGGATTTTTAGTGCCTCTAGTTGTACAGTGGACCCTTGACTTACAGACAGCTTGACTTACAGACTTTTTGAGTTACAGACTTCTCTGGCCGCAAAATTTAGGTTTGACTTGCAGACTGAGATTTGACTTACAGACCAGAAAAAAATCACAATGGAACAAAAATGGCCTGTATAAAACAACAAGTTTAATACAAACCCCAACAATGGCCTGTAATCGGTTTTCAATGCACTGTAGGTCAATGGAGACTTGACTTACAGACTTTCTGACTTGAGAACTGCCTTCCAATACGGATTAAGTTCTCAAGTCAAGACCCCACTGTAATGCAGATTCCCACGCAGATTAGAAAGAAAAGATTAAACTGGCAAGTGACCACAATAGGGAAAGAAATCCATCTTTTTCCCACACTGTGCAGAGAAGTGCCCACTGTCCAGAAGTGATTTGAAACCCTAAATAGCAAGGAAATACACCAAAGGCACAATCTGTACTACTGAACAGAACACTCTGCTTTTCCTGATTCGTCAAGAGAATCAAACCCTGGTTAAGCCTCAGACGTTAAACATACCTGCATAACTGCATTCTGAATAGCTTCTGGCAAAGGAGCTGTATTCCCAACACACGTGGAACATCCGTAGCCAATGACCTCAAACCTAAAGTGGAGACCAAGATTTATTGGTTTATTAGAGGATTCCTTTTCATTCCCATTTTCACAACAATTCAGTCAACGAAGTCTCCCTGAAATGTCTGGGATCGTTCAGAAAGAGCTGTTCTGTGGCTAAGGCTTCAAGACTCCCACCTCAGAAATGGAGGGTCAGGAATCTTGAGCTACCTGGGCATCTCGTGGGCCCATGGCAGGAGGGGAGGCTCTGTTTTAACAGGAAGGATGTTGGTGCGGTCACAGCTCAGCTGTAGAAAAGATTTTGCAGGCCAAAAGCTCCAGGTTCAATCTCTGGCCTTGTCAGAAAAAGATTAACAACCTGGCAGTGGTCGCGAAAATGCATTTTTCTATCTGACCTTCACAGGAGCTGCTGCCAGTCCAAACAGGTAATATTGGGCTGAATGAGCATATAATACAACCTGGTCTAGCAAGACAACTGTCTTTCCTTCCATATATCTGTGTTTTGACAGAGTTGTCACTGAACAAATAGATGCATTTTTTAAAGCACATCATATAATCTGTGGGATTAAGGTAGGCATGAATTGTGATGTAATAGTTTTGAAACAGGCTTTGCAGTAATTAGTCTGAGTCTGGATTTATGAATTATGGTTTCACTTTAGAACAATGCCTAGAAATGGTTTCAATAAGCCAATACCAAGAAGCCGGCAAGCTGCACAGTACCACACCACGCCATGCCTGCCTGTTCCTGCATTACACCTCCTGCATCTGTACATGGATATTGGGCTTCTGAATGGCTCTTTAAGTATGTTGTGCTTTACAGCAGTAGTCCCCAACCTTTTCGGAACTGTAGATTGGTTCAGGGGGCGGGGGGCACCCTTGCATTCACGGGTGGGCATGGCGCATTCACGGGTAGGCATGGCATGCTTGCACACATGCACAGGGCGTGCTTGTGGACGGGGGTAGTGCGCTCGCTCACATGCATGGGTGATGTGGTGCACTCGCAGGTGAGTGGGGCGTGCATGAACGCCATGCCCATCCGGGAGCACACCCGTTCACCTGCACAAGCGTGTGAGTGCGCCACGGCCAACATGCATGGGGGGGCAGGAGATCTCCGTGGCCTGGTCCTGTAAAGCCCACGGACTGGCACTGGGGGGGGTGGGGACCCCTGCTCTAGAGAACAACCACCTTTAAACCTTTTACATATTTGAGCAAAGAAACAGTACCCAAGTTTATTGAGGTATGGCAGGACACCACTGGAACTGAGATAATGTGTGACCATTCCACTGCCAGGGGATAAGCTAGTTCTTATGTACGGTTTGACAGAAAGACCAGCTTCAATGGCTTTTTTGGCCAACAAACCTAATGGAAAATGGAAAAGAAAGTTAAATGATTTGTACAATAAAGCATTCTACACAATCTAACTTAGCAAAGCTTACGTTCCATGTGGAGGAATTATGACAGCCGTCAGAGATGCTGGAGGAAGGCCACAATTCCATGAAGATGACAGGCTTTGCTCACAGAAGGACCTCGGGTTCAAATCACTGTTTGCAAGTCACAGACTAAAGAAATCTCTGTCTGAGATTCCCAGAGGACAGATACCAGTCAGAACAAACAGGACACAGGAGATGAACCACTGGTTTGCTTCCATAAAAAGCAGCTCTAAAAACTGGATAAACATTGGGCAAGATCCAGCAAGCTGTCTGCCATTCAGTTTTTATTCAGTCTGATGTTGTTCATGCAAGAATCTTTAGAAGTCTCCCCAAAAGCTGTCAGCTGTGGGTTGAGAAGATGGTGGCCAAAGTGCCTCTTTCTCCTTTGATAACAAATCTTCTCACAAATTCTAATAGAAAGCTATTGTGCCAATCCTCTAGGAGCTCAACCACTGAGCCACCAAGCCAATATCTTAAGTGTTTTCAATGAGATCAAACCCGCAGCTTCTCTGACACAAGGTCGTCCTCAAAACTGTTCGTCTGATGTTGTTAATGCAACACCCAGATCATGTGCAGCAGCAGCAGCAGTAGCTAAGCCATGACTTCAAGAATAGCTATCTCTGCCAGATGCTGCACAATGGAAATGTAATAATGCTTAAGCACCATGAAGAATCTGGATCAGTGCAACTCATCTATCAAACATTCTAAAAGTGTATTGGGGTAATTATCTTACACTATTGTATGAAACACTTTCCAGGTATTCATATGTAAAAGGCAGAATAGCAGCTTCCCATTAGTTTCTATGGACGGAAAAGAGCAGATACGGATCAAATGGTTCTCAATGCATTCCTATGGGAAATGCAGATTTGACCTTTGACTTGAGAACCGCCTTCCAATACGGATTAAGTTCTCAAGTCAAGACCCCACTGTATTCATATGTAGTAGGATTGCACCTACAATACCACAGGGCATCATGGATTTGATCCTCACCAAGCAAAGAGTGCTTCTGTTGTCTATATCGGAACAAATTCCTTTGTTTTGGAATTTGACAACCACAGACGTCAACAAGATGACAGCTTGATTGCTCTTAGGTTTATAGCAGAAGTTGCCAACCAGTGGCCAGCACAGCGAGTGGTGAAGGCCTCTGGGAGTTTTAGTCCAAAAACATCTGGGGACCCAAGGCTGGGAAACCACTGGTCCACAGGATTAGCGTTACAGCATGAGATTGAAACTACTGACTCTACTCAAAGCATACCTGCTCCTAGCATCACGGAGGGGTTGCAGTTGTTTGTACAGCTGATGACTGCAGCGATAACCACAGATCCATGAGACAGCTTGTACTCATTTCCTTCATATTCAACAGGCACTACATCATTTTGCTTTTCAACCGGAATCTGAAAGCCTTTGAAACCAACCTATGAGACAAAAAAAAAATCATTGCAAAGATAATCAACCACATAACATACTCATAACTGTATTTAAGTAAAAAGGGAAACCATTAGAATTGTTCTAACAGACAAGACTTGGGGGTAGGGGGCTAGGCAGCCAAAATCCAATTAGAGCAACCATTTTAGAGTGGGCTTTTCAGCATTAACTATTTCACTAAGCGAGGTTGCAATTATCTGCATGGGATACTTTAGCTTGCACAACAGCTTTCTCATCCAAGTGACCGATGGGAACAAGCAAGGGCCAGTCCACATATTACAGGATTCCTATAAGGTAGAAGAGGAGTGACCCAAACAGCAGAACAAATCAAGGCTTATATTCATGGACTACAGCAGCGGTTTCCAACCTCGGATAACCCAGGTGTTCTTGGACTGCAACTCCCAGAAGATTTCGGCACCATCTGTGGTGGCTGGGGTTTCTGGGAATTGCTGTCCAAGAACACCTGGGTTATCCAAGGTTGGAAACCACTGATCTACACTGTTTTAGAGTGTTTAACTAGCAGCATGAGGAGATGCCATTTCGATACTCTCTATAATTTTCGGTCACTGCAATGGATAAGCACCTAATTCAAAAAACAAAACACAGCAAAGAAAGGAGGTGGATTCCCTCCACCTGACATCCCAAGAAGAGATATACCATCCTCATTAAAAAAAACAAGAAATCTAAACAGTACCTTTCTGTTTTGATTGTACATACCTTTTCATCTAAGCATGCCTTGAAATCGCTTTTCATGTCCGTAACAGCAACTCTGTCTTGTGCCCGTTTGGGCCCACTTACGTATGGCATGATAGAACCCAGGTTTATGCATACAATCTGACGAGAAACATACTTTGTCAATAATTATTATGTAATTTATATTATTATTATTACTAATAACTATCATCATGTGTTGTCAAGTCTGACTTACAGCTTCCCTTTCCAGGGTTTTTTCCAGGTACAGAATACTCAGAAGTGGTTTCCCGTTCCCTTCTTCTGGGGGCAGCCCTGGGACTGGGCAGCTGGCCCAAGGCCACCCAGGCTGGCTGTTCCCCCAGGAGGCACCGTAGGGAACCAAACTCCCAATCTCTGGCTCTCCAGCCATATCCTTAAACTGCTGAGCTATCCGGCCAGCTCTATATGCTCCAGTAGTCCACTATTTTGACCGGAACATTTGACATCAGCAATATATTATTATTTATGTCAAATATTCACCCCCAAAACAGTGGACTGCTGGAGTATTTCAGCAAGCTTCTCTTTATAACCTTCGACCATTTATGTCATCATGTCTTGTCAAGTCTGACTTACAGCTTCCCTTTTCAGGGATTTCCAGGTACAGAATACTCAGAAGTGCATTACCATTCCCTTCCTCTGGGGGAGCCCTGGGACTGTGCAGCTGGCCCAAGGCCACCCAGGCTGGCTCTTCCCCCAGGAGGCACCACAGGGAATCAAACTCCCAATCTCTGGCTCTGCAGCCATATACTTAAACCGCTGAGCTATCCGGCCAGCTCTATATCCTCCAGCAGTCTACTATTTTGACCGGAACTTTTGACATCAGCAATACGTTATTGTTATTATTTATGTCAAATATTCCCTCCAAAAACAGTGGTCTGCTGGAGTATTTCAGCAAGCTTCTCTTTATAACCTTTGCCCATTTATGCCTTTTTGCAGGCAAACTAGAATGATCCCTGTTTTAGCAAGCAAAATGGAAGACAACCCCTTGACAACACATTATGGGGTCTTTGTCTCCCAGAAAGTTGAGTTAAACATTAACACGGAGATCTGATATTACAATACTTAGTTTTACTCACTAGCACTAACATAGAAGGTAAATAAAACTAAGAGGGGGGAAAACTAGCTAGTTTTTTAATACAAAACAGCTGGAAAAGAATATATTCATACATAACAATAAGCCAGGATTAGTCACTTATTCGTAACTTACTTTGAATAAGCAGCATATTAGTGCATAGAGTTGTTCAGTTCTATTTTGCCCCCTCTGTTTGTATAAACAGGGAAGACAACCAGAAATGGGCAGCTACACATTAAATCTGAACTCTGCTCCTTGATCTGTTACTCCAAAATAACTAGAGGAACAAATCATGATTGATTCCTATGTCACAGGAAGCTTCCCAGTTCTCCTTTGTCTCATCTACGGCCATGCTGTGAGTTCAAGACAAGTCAGCAAGTCTGACTGATCATTGTGCGTGAATACTCCTACAGCCCTGTCTATGCCCCTTCGAGCAAGACCTCTACCAAGACTTGCAAATGGACACCAACATTTATAAGGGAGTGTCAAGGAAGCACTGCAGAAACCTGTATGCTACCCAGAGATGAGATTTTGAAGGAGTAACTGAAGTCATATTTATAACATTGCCTTTTTAAGCCAAAGTAGCAGTTTATCATCAGGGCTCCTGGTCCCTGGGAGCTGGCAAACATGCTCCAGGAATGTTTCTCTCTGCAGATGGAGAAGACTGAGATAATTATAGCCGTGCCCCACTGGACGATTACCCCGCTCTACGACGAATCCGCTTAATGCTAAAGTTTTTGCAATCGCAAAACGATGGTTTAAATGGGTTTTCTTCATTTCACGATGATCGGTTCCCTGCTTCGGGAACCGATTTTCCGTTTACGATGATCAGCAAACAGCTGTTTGCTGATCGTCGGGTTTCAAAATTGCTGCCGGCTGAAGAAAATGCCCCCCATTGTTTTTAGGACTGATTTTTCGCTTAACAGGCACCAGAGAATGGCCGCCGTATGGAGGATCTTCGCTGGACGAGCAAGTATTCAGCCCATTGGAATGCACTGAACGGTTTTCAATGCGTTTCAACGGTTTTTTAAATTTTGTTTGATGTTTTCGCTCTACAGTGATTTCGCTGGAACGTCGTCAAGCGAGACACCCCTGTACAGAGGAGGAGGAGCTGAATGATGGCAAAGCTGTCAGTCCATGAAAGCTGCCCCTCTGGTGGTTCTCCAAAAGTTTGGTAGGCTGAATCCCTACCCAGTGGTTTCCCCGTTTAGCTACAGATCTAGTTCTCACGGCCTAAATCAAAGTCTCAAGCCCCTCTAGGTTATTTGCTGGGCTTTTATTTGCCAAGCATTAATATGCTGTAGATGAAGCAGACAGGGGACATAGCTATGGGTGAGAAAACAGAAGAAAATCAGCTGAAATAAGAACTCTCCCATCCTTTGGATGGGGAGGCAAGGGTTTTAGAAAGGGCTTAAATCTATAGAAGCTACAGAGATTTTAAAAGAGGCTAAGGCCATTTTGTGATTACCTGGGAATATTCTGGTTCTTCAGTTGAAACTTCATAATTTCTAAAAAGTTTCACAGTTTTAAGATATGCTTCCATGGACTTAAGCTTAGCCTCATCAAAGCCTGTGGGAAACATTTGAAAAAGTTATGGAAACTACTGTCTGAGTAATTATAATTAAAAATAATTATCTGATGAGAGAGGACTCAGCAGAATAGCTCAACAGAAGCTGCACAACGAAAAGCTCAAATTATTCAGCATTCAGTTCAATAATAAAAAGACTTCCTCCTTCTGGCTTGCAGTTCTCAAGGCTTCCACATGTTGAAAGGGATTACATGGGAGCAGAGATGGGCACTAATCGCTGATCCAGTGGTTCATCTTTCAGATGAACAGATGTTCGGCACTTCACAGCCCCATTTCCTCCAGCAGGCACCGAGTTAGAGGCAGTCCGTACCCATCTCTAGACAGGAGTTGGAAAGTCCATGGGATAGGAGAAGGAAGTTTTAATCAGTGAAAATTGGCCTTGCAAGTGACATAATCCTTCCGCAAGTTTAAGTTATGGAACAACAGTTTAAATATATTTGCTAAAAGAAGATTAAAAATGCATGCCTTTTATTGATCTGCAACACCCTTAAATTTTCCCACACATTCTAGCGGGGAAAAAGTTACTTGAAGGCCAACTGCAGCATCTCAAAATAATTAAAAGAAGATGAAACGGGATCCCAATGAACTATTTCCCAGTATATACCAGAGGAGGAAGATACAATGGTGACTGAACGCCACAACATGTTGTATGGGAAATTTTTGATCCAAAAATCAAAACAATGTGGAATAATATACTACTTTAGATAATAATTCCTGTTCATTTCACGATGATCCTTTTTCATTTCCGATAACTTTTTCATTTCCATCTTACCTGTTTGTCTTAAGTGCTTTAGCGTCACATTATCTATAGGGAAAAAGCTCAGGATAGCACCATATTCTGGACACATATTTGCTATTGTTGTCCGGTCACCTATGGAGAGCTGGGAAACTCCAGGCCCAAAGAACTCCACAAATTTCCCAGACACTCCCGCTTGCCTTAATTGCTATGAGGGGAAAACAATACATTAATATATAGATGCATAATACAGGGCGAGAACTTCTACAGCACAAAAAACCTTCAAATGATAAAACAGCTTTTGCAAAGAAAAAAAGCACAGGGCTGTGAGGATCTGCAGAGCAGGCGACGCCAATGGAGATTGCACTAAGAGGTCTTCTGCCAGATGGGTTAGACAATGAAACTACGCATCAAAATTGTTGCAGCACACTGCCAGTAGATCTCCAAAGCTTCTTCTTAAACCTGACGCTTTCTGCATGCAAAGGAGGCGCACCTCTTCCTAAGCCCTGGCCTTTTTCCAATATCTGCCCCACCATAAATGCACTTGCCAACCATGAACGTGGCCATAGGCATCCTTTGGTTACCCGACGTTGAGGATGGAGGCCTTAGAAAGTCCATGTAATGTGAGAAAAAAAACCACAATCCTCATTTTTTCTCCTGCAGTGGGGCTCGTCTTCAGCCTGCCTGACAACAACAACAACAACTCTCTAATTACCTTTGTAATGCTGAGGACCACATCTATGGAGGTGGCCAGCGGGCTGGCTGTGCCTGTCAGTTCACACCCTACAACCTCTGGCAAAGTGAGGGTGACCGGCAATCCCAGCATGACAGCTTCTGTCTCAATTCCACCAACACCTGGAAGAAAATATGTCAGTATTTAGCTGCTTGTTTACAAAACAATTCATTAAATGTTAAAGAGGACCTTTCAGACGTTACCTTTGTCTGACGTTTAAAACGTACTGTAGAGAAGCACTAAATACCCTTTCCTCTTTTAAACTAGCTTCACAATTGGAAGGCATGAATGCTAAGCTGAATTTTATTAACAATACTTAAAAGCATAGAGGCTGCCTCGGCTACTTCTATTTTCATGCTCTTGTAGATGGTTTCGTGCCAGTCACAGATAAGACTAGAAACTGAAGCAGAGTGCATATTTTAATGGATTAATGCAAAGGTTTCCATCTTTGCGTTAGTGAAAGAAAGGTAATTTTGTTCTGTTCCTCAGGCTGTAACTAGGCAATGCCTTCCTCATGCAAGTATTTAGACTGATAGCCTAGCACCTCCAGAAGATTTTACACCCGTTGAAATGAAAGATGTAGTTACCCCTCCTAATGGACTGATAATAAAGGCAGATCTAGTAAAATGGATCCAAAGAGAGAAAGGGGAGAAGACAAAGGAATCAGAAATAAAGGAATTCTAAATAACAGAACAACTCTTCAAATATACAGGATGATTCATTTTCTTCAGAATAAACATGCTGGTAGCCCTTAGTGATCCAGAAGGATGAACGTTCAGTGCATTTGTCTGCCTCAGGGCTGCTAGCTCTTCAGCATGCTGAAATCACGGGGGGACAGGGTTGGGTGCATGCCAAACACAGCCAAATTCTTCTTTCACAGATGGGGCCCTTCTAGACATCATTAAAACTCATCAGTTCTAACCAGGAGATCCCTGGCACTGAAGCCCCCCAAATCTACAGAGAAATGCATTCCCCATTCCAGACCTTTATTATATAAAATAATTCTTAATATTTATATTAAAAGCTGGAAGAAATTTAAAATAAGTAATAATTGGGAGATCTTTTTGTTCTCAACTTTGAATCAGTAAAGCCTGTATTTTAAGCACAAGAACGAAGAAAGGGTAAAGACGAATATTTACCCAGAACTGTACAGTACTTATAAGGCATGATGCAAGAATGTAAAAAGTCAAACTGGGAGAAACCAAGAAGGAGGTAAGAAATAAAAAGTGAACAGCCTCTCCAGCAAACTTACCCCATCCTAATATCCCCAGGCCGTTCACCATCGTGGTATGGGAGTCAGTGCCAACAACGCTGTCTGGATACAGCAAGCCTTTAACGTCAAAGACCACCCTGGACAAGTATTCCAGGTTTACCTGGTGCGCCATCCCTGTTCCGGGAGGAATTACTGAGACGTTCCTAAAAACTCTGGAACTCCACTAGGTTATTTTCAACAAAGAATGGTAGAGGTGGAGGGAGGAGAAGAGGAAAAAGAAGAAATAATATGTCATCCTCATACTCTTGAAACCTCGTATACACATAGCAAAGGAATCTAAAGACCGGCCGAAAATATTTTTTAAAAAATCTTGGCAGGGATCTTTTGCTGTAAGAAAGGACAACATTCATAAGACAGTCTTTCTCTTAACAAGTAAAAGCAAAATCTCTTTATGGGACTAAATATTGTGTAGTATTATCAGTTAACTCTTGCCATGTCAGTCATTTCCTGAAGCATTCTTGAGATAGTCAGGAAGAAAATTGAATTTGAGACAGGTTTTCCACCCCCTGTATTAACAATCTCTCCTCCCCTTTTGGTTCTTACATGAGATGTTCTGAAAGCTATAGAAGAGCCAAAACAAAGCTTTGTGGCTTTGTTCTGATCTGCATTTCGCAAATATTTGCTTTATGGGGCTTGCCCTCCGATCAACCTACCTTGAAAAACTGGAGTCTCTCTCGGTTTCTACCAAATTCCACCTCCTGGTTTTTTAATACTGTTTCAGGCCTGAGGGAAAGAAAAAGAACCCACACCAATGTTAACATGTGACCCAGTCTTTTATTTACTGCTGTCTCAAGTGACCTTTGGAACGGTTTTGGATGGGATACCTCCTTAAGGTAAGGGCAGATGCCAATTCCACATGACCCCTTTGTTTTCCCCTACAAATGCCAGTCTCACCTCAGGTATCCTTGTGACAGTATTCACTGTCCCAATTTGCTTGAAATACACATTTCAAACAAATTTCTACAGTCTAATCCCACAAACATCTATTCAGAAAGAAGCCTCAATGAATTAAGCGGAACTCTACCATAAAGGCGTACAAGAGCATGGGAATATGCCTTTAGTGGCCAAAATCTGCAAGATATATTGCCTGATTGTATCTGATTTGAGAAGCAAAGTCAGGTTAGTGCTGGTGGCAGTGATTTCCAGGTGCTGAAGAGTTCTCTCCTCCATTCTACGGCTCCCTTACATTTCCCCAGTTCAAAGGAGAGCTCTAGGGAGCGCCAGAAACTAGAAGAAGGTGGGGAGAAAAAGCTTTTAATGTCCCCCAAATGGCTGCACCATGGCTATGGATGATGACATTATTCAAATTCTGAGTCATCACTTGCAAAACAAGATTTCAGTCACCCAGCCAGTCCCATGGGCCATTTAATACAATACGGTCAATTCTGACCGGCGAGAAAGGTGGGATTCCTTTCTAGACCTACTAGAAGATCCATAGCATTTCCTGGTGATCTTCTATCCAAATAGGACACAGGGCTAGCCTTGCATAGTTTCTCAAATCAGATCTGATCAAGTATATTCAGGATGACATAGCAGTATCCTATAGTATAGGATAATGGCCTCAGAAGAGGACCTCCTAGAATTATGCCAACACCATGACCAAGGAAAGAGATGTGTTTTCTAGAGTCACACTTAGAAGCAGATAACCTCAAGGCGAGAAGCAAGATGCACGATTCATGTAACAGATTACAAGGAAACTGGCTATCTTACCATCTGACCCTGTTACTGCCAATTAAAAAAGCAACAAGACAGGATGTGTGGCTTCAAGAATATGTGGTTCAGGAGAAATTAAAATACGAGGTACTTCTGCAGTGGCTTTTCAAGAATAGGTTTCAGGCATTACATTTTTGCTGAATCCAACTCGTCCTTGATGGAGATAAACCCACACAGTAATTTGTTTCCACAGTGTCACTATGCTTAAGTGAGACAAGCAATCAAGCCTTCTCCGCTTTGAAGCTTCAGGCATTGGCACAGATTGTCTTTTTTTTTAAAAAAAAAATGGAAAGCAGGTCTACGACCAAAGCACCTTGCTCACACGTGACCAGTCGGACGCTCTTGCTTCCTTCCTCCCAACCTCTGTTGCGCTGGACATGGAGAGCAGGAAAGGTGAAGGGAGTACCAGCACTCTGAGTGCATTTAGGTAGTGATCCAAAATACCACATGTTCCTTCTCCCTTAGGTAAATGGGGTGGGTGGACGGGGCACCACAACACAGCTGAATATTTTGGCTTGGCTAGCCAAAAACTGTTAACTCATACTTAACCCATTTCTGCCTTCTATAAACGTTCCCATGAGAACGATGTAGCAGAAAAGCTTACTTGGTGTCTAAGTGTGAGTGTGAATTAAGGAAAATCGGCCAGGTTTACATTAAGAAGAAACACTGCCTTCTTTTTCTACTTGCAGGGAGAAGCTGGGCCTGATTTTCATTACCAGATACGAGTGACTGTGCAAGCAGTAAATTATCATTAAAGAAAACAGAAGTCTAAACATGGTGCAGCAGAGCGCTGAAAACATCAACACTGGTCAAACACCTATTTGAACAAACATGGTTTTCTAAGGTCATCAATGGCAGATTTCCTTCTTCAAATTTATTGAAAGCCATTCACGATACCCCATCTTGGGACAGCAACTAGCCAACTCTTTTTTGACACCATTAGCAATAAGCAAGCTAGAATGGACGCTGGAAAGCATTACATGAAACTCTATTAGACGTATAGCTTCAAGTTACATATCTACAGCCAAATAAATACATAAACAAACAAAGAACTGGTAGTCAGCCACCATGATGGGATGAGTTCCTACCTGCAGAATAAAGACTCTTAACAATTGAAACAGGATTTCAACCTACCTACATACTCAACCAACCAAAATGTAACTTACTCAGGCACTGGTTGAAGATGAAAAGGACACAGTAGAGGCGTGTTTTCAATTTGCACAGAAAGCTGTCCTACGTTACGTCTTGAATCTCTGTCACAGGGCCCCTTGCAACTGCTCTGGCTTCTGCACGGTAACCTCCGGGGAGCTTTAAGAGGAGAAAGTTTGGATGGTGGCCTCTGCGGATCCCCACCTCCAGGATTGGGAGTATTCTGTATTGCACTTTTTAAAAATTGAAGTGGAAAAAAATACATTTACATACCGAAATATTTTGCACTGTCAAGCATTAGCTAAATGTAGCATATATACTTTTCAGAAAATACACATATAATAAAATGCACAATTTTATATCTGGAGATTCTAACAAATGATCATGTGGTTGGATATTATCTATAAGACATCCAGGGCTGGTACATTTTACAGCAGGAGTGAGGTCAAGTGGCCCCTTGAGATGCTGTTGGAATCCAAATCCCATCAAGTCTGTCAGAATGGCCAGGGGTCAAAGAGGATAGCTGGAAGGCCACAGATTCCAGACCCCTGCCTTTGAGGGTACATGATGTGTAGAGGTCAATCCATCTACACCAGATAGATTTTAAACAATAGAATCCCATTGGACAAATGTTCTCTTGTTCCAATTTCTAGGTGACTCCTGCATCACTTTTTGCGCTCTAATTGAAATAATAGTACGTTCCTGTTTTCAATACTCCACTTGTTGATATTTGAATCTTGTGCCCCCCCAAGAATGGGTGGGATTTAAATTTAGCATATAAATAAATGGCATGTATCTTTTTCTAGATGTGAATTTCATTTAAGCACGGGCAGGTCACATTCTATTAACAAATATTGCTGCCACCAGAAGAAAAACAAGTAAGTACCATTTGCTGAAGTCAATCTGCAAGGAATGGTCCACAGTGAGGTCTGTTGGGCAAGCAGGATGGACTTTTGTAGGGTCTCCTCCAAGATTTTTCACAGCTTCCCTCATAGCAGCAAAATCTACCATTGCAGGAATTCCACTGGTGGAAAGGAAGAAAACAGAAATATTTAACAGAGTGCTGCCTCTCCAATGATAGAGAATGTATGATGTATTAATCCAGCACTAATTCTGATGGGACCATTCAACAACATATGCAGAACAAGAGTTGGTTCTGCTTCGGTATCTGGATGTGAAAAGTAGTGAATCAGAATGATTTATCCTCTAATACAAGGGTTCCCAACCTTGGGGTCCTGAATGTTCTTGGACTAAAACTCCCAGAAGCCTTCACCACTCACTGTGCTGGCCAGGATTTCTCTGAGCTGTCGTCCAAGATCGTCTGGGGACCCACGTTTGGGATCCATGGCTCTAATATAGGGTGACTTCTTATGTTGAAATATGTAAGCGCTGGAGCTTAAGGAAGTTAATTTTTTTGAACAACAACACCCCAAATCCCACAGTCAGTATTTCTCAAGTTCTGGCAGCAAGATAATACAATCATTAGTGCTATAGAAGTTCAGCACATGCATCTCACATGTAAAACATTCACAATTTGAAGTGGGACAGTGATATCTCCCATTCTTTCAACCCCTGTCCCACTGACATTCAGCCACTGCCAACATAAACCTACATGAACAGCTGAACATCTATCTAAACATGGTGGAGGTTCCACCCTGAAAACTTAGATCCAGTCAGCACTGCTGGAATCCATGAAACTTAGCTGAGATAGGTAACGAGAAAAATGTGCCTTACGTAAAGTCTTGGAGGAGGACCCTGGCAGGACAGAAGGGCACTGCAACGTTGTTCTGTTTCGCTTTCCAATCCAAAATGTTCATAGCATCTTCTTCTTTCACTAGGAAGCCATCACAGCTACGGACAGCAGCTTCCAAGAGGACCCGTATGGAGTAAGGCAGGGCATCTACACATAATGGGATTAGATGGATGGCAAAAATACTTTGGTAGTCCTTCCCCTACACACTAGGTTGCTTTCTAACCAACCAAGCTGTTACTGCACTGTTCCTTAACCCTTCTGATGTAAGTTTCAATGAACAGGTCACACAACAATGGAATACAGATTGGCAGTGTATGTGCTTTGGATATAGACAGTCATAGGTTCAATAGAGGATGCAGGAAAGGATGTGAGACCGTAGTAAGTTGTTGCTCTATGCAGGAGTCAGCATTGGGGCTAGATGGAGAAAGAGTCCTGAACACTATAGAGCTCTTTCCTGTTTTTCCCCCATACAGGAAAGAAGCCTACCATAATACGCAAAAAGACAATGACGAGAACTGGCTGCTATTACTTTTGGCAGATATTAGAAATGGGACCAAAACAAATCAAAATATTAATATATACGTGGTGGTGTTCTTGGCTTTCCTTTTCTTATGGTTGAGTTCAAGCCAAGATGTAGAGCCCAAATCTGGCTTCTCTTGGATTTTCAAAGCTGTTCTGTGTGTACGGCACATCTAATTGGCATCGTTCCCTGCAGCAAACAGCCCCTTGCATTGGGTCAAGTCATGCTTCAAAGTCATACTGAGAACTTCATAAAGCAAAGGTGGGTCAAAATGTGTGCTCTCGCATGCTGCAGGAGTATAGTTCCCATCAGCCCTACGTAGCATCGCCAATGGTGAGGAATGCTAGGAAATTCAATCCAACAAGAACATAAGGCCTACACTTCGCCCATCCTGATGATCAAGAATTGCTTATCTTTAAGGGGATAAATGAAGAAACACATTCGCCCATCCTGATGATCAAGAATTGCTTTGGAGGACAGTGCAGCTATCTTTAAGGGGATAAATGAAGAAACACTGGGCATTGATTTGCACCAATGTTCCCTTGCAAAACAGCTAAAAAGTAACAATCAATGCCCTTTTACTTTCCATCTCATTAACACACAGCATTCATAGTACCCACTTTGTGGATGTCAAGGTGACAAAAACCCACATTTCAGGCTCTCCAAAGCTAAGTGGAATTCCAGGTTGTGAGTCTCTGTCAATGTTATTTGATAGATTAGATCCACTATAACCTAGCAGGATGCCAACAACCTCATATTACTAAACCATAAATCAACTAAAAATTAACTAAGTAATATTACTTATTTTGTTCAATTAAGAATTTTTTCCAAATACAACAATCACCCCAATAACACTTCTTGATATTTTGGTAAGAACCCCAACTTAAATATTAAGAAGGAAGACATGCCTAGGATAAGTTTAAAATTTTGAAATATTTATTTATTTATCAATCAAATAGGTATATACAGTATTGACCATGGTATAACCCAAGAACTAGATGTTTATCTGTATCGATATGAGTCCACTGCTGAATTTTCTGATTTTTAAAAGGTTTACTTCCTATTATTCCTTCCTATTATCCAACTAAGACAAAACTTAAGTGGCAGAACTTCCTTATTCTTGTGGTTACAAAATTTAACACACTTTCCACCTCAACATATCTGCTGAGGAAACCAGAAGACTGGCTACAGTGGAGTTCTTGCTCTAAATGCAAAAGCATTTATAATCCCAAGCTTCGTTTTTGGCAATGCCAGTAGACTAGGAAAGATCTCTAACTAAGACTCTAGAGAGGCACTAGCCAACATCTTCTGTTTACCTGTGCATGTGGGCTGTTGACTCTCATTTTTGTTTTTTTACCTTCCAAGATGCGAGACTGGAAGGATGTATCTCTGCAGCTTCCAGATCTTCTCAAGCCATGTGGACTGAGAAAACAATCTGTGACTTTTATTTACTAGTCCCTTCTCTTAACTTTGATCCTAAGCTTGCCTGCTGTATTCCTGGAAGTTAAGTGAGTAAAGTATGTTTTCACCTTTTGTACTTAAAGACAGTCTCCTGAGTCTTATTTCATAATGTGTTAGCTTTGGAGAGGGTAGAATATCAATAGAATTGTAAAAGGGCACTTCAGTAGACAATTCTAATCTTAGAGAGCTGGCCTTCTGCTGCGCATTTTACAGGGCATTTAAGCAAATTCCTACAACACTCAAGACTGCCAACCGGTGTTGTTGTTGTTTAGTCGTTAAGTCCTGTCCGACTCTTCGTGACCCCATGGACCAGAGCATGCCAGGCCCTCCTGTCTTCCACTGCCTGCCGGAGCTTGGTCAAATTCACATTGGTAGCTTTGATGACACTGTCCAGCTATCTCTTCCTCTGTCGTCACCTTCTCCTCTTGCCTTCACTCTTTCCCAACATTAGGGTCTTTTCTAAGGAGTCTTCTCAAGCATCTTTTCTAGGGAGTCTTCTCTTCTCATGCAATGGCAAAAGTATTGGAGCCTCACTTGAGGATCTGTCCTGATATTTGATATTGCCTGCACCAACCGGTGTAGGCAATATCAAATTGGAGTCATGGACTCTGTGTAAAGAGAAACCTTATAATTACATATGTTCTCACAGGGCATTTTGTGAGAAATGCCAGACTTCTCCATCACCCATAAATGGAATGCAAATCATTATACAATCGAGTTTGCAACCACCACGTCGGAAGTGGAGAAACACTAGTTAGCATTGCCTGCACCAACCGGTGTAGGCAATATCAAATTGGAGTCATGGACTCTGTGTAAAGAGAAACCTTATAATTACATATGTTCTCACAGGGCATTTTGTGAGAAATGCCAGACTTCTCCATCACCCATAAATGGAATGCAAATCATTATACAATCGAGTTTGCAACCACCACGTCGGAAGTGGAGAAACACTAGTTAGCATGTTTAACAGTCATTATACAATCGAGTTTGCAACCACCACATTGGAAGACCTAGTGGCCTACTCCATTTAACATTAGTTCATGACAGTTAAGTGATGGTAAAGTTGCCAAGCAAAGTGGAGAAACACTAGTTAGCACGTTTAACAGGTCCACACACCTGCTTTCCTTCTCTGGAGAGCACAAAGCAAAAAACCACTGCTGCAGGGTGTGCCTGTTTCACTTAAATTAATGTTTTACAAGGCAGACAATGTCTTTCTCTCACTCCACACACCTGCTTTCCTTCTCTGGAGAGCCCAAAGCAAAAAACCACTGCTGCGGGGTGTGTCTGTTTCATTTAAATTAATGTTTTACAAGGTGATTCATCAAAAGGCTAACCAGAGCCATTACAGATTGGTGGACCAGTCTTAAGTTAAGGCTACCAAGTTAAGACTGCAACAAGAAGTCTCTACACACCTTCCTTTACTTAGAAACTTTACAGATTGGTGGACCAGTCTTAAGTTAATGCTGCCAAGTGAGGCAACAAGAAGTCTCTACACACACCCCTTTACTTAAAAATAGGGGTTCCTATGAAGAACCTCTAGACACAAAATAATTTCATGATTATCTTCAACGATTCCAACCTGACAGGTTGTCCACAACGGACTCACTCTGACCTCACCTTCAAATATAGGGAACTAGAGAACACGCTGAATGAAAATGAATCCAATGCACATCAACTACTAAGGCTCAAGATACTGTGGATGTGCTGGAGATACTCCACCTATCCAATACTGCAACGTTACTCAGATATGGCTTCCCAAAACTATTGGGTCCACTTTTAAGGTGGGCCATGCAGACGCGCTCTGCTTAAGAATTACCACTCAGTTGAAGTCTCCGTAATTTTCACAATACAGCCCCTGCCCTTAATGATTTCTAAACAGTCACAAGAATCGAAGAGTAAGATATGGTCAGAACCACGGTCTTGGGTCTAGCTTTTATAAACTCGTCTGGGCAGGTTTCCTAACTTAGAGATGAAGACTCGTCTTTGCCTTTTTATGCAAGCAACTGGCAAGTCAAAATACTTTGTAGGAGAGGAGTTTTGTTTCTGGCGGGCCAGCCCAACTGTTGACGACAGACAAAACAGACAGGCTTCTGGAAGGAGAGAGCAGCCTGTGCTCAAAAAGGACCATGGATTTTGTGGGGACTGGAACTTGGATCATTCAGGTCCCAGTCTAAATGTGACACTGCACTGGTGCTGTTCATGCTTCCTCCTAAATCATTGTTGTACAAGAGGCAGCCTTCCCTATTCCCCTGGACTGCTATTTCCAGCATATCTCAGCATCATCTATATCTCATGAGCAGCCAACAATTTCTAAAGCACTTTTGCCCCCCATGACTCCCATCTTCATCTAAGTCCTCAGCTTATGAAGAGTCTGCCTAGATTAAATTATGTTTGTTTTGTTGCAGGGGTGAGCAACACGCAGCCCCCCCCCAGATGTTGATGGATTACAACTCCTATTGGGCTAGCCAGCATAGACAACAGTGAGAGGACAACACTGAGGGTTGCAGATCCCCAAACATATGTAGGGCCTTGTTCTACTCACTCTTGCCCTGGAAGACAACATTATTTAGACCAGAATGGTCAACTGTGTCAGGTCTTGGGGCCAACTTTCTATGACGGAACCTTCCAGGAGCTGCTCAAACTGCCCTAAATTCTGAAACCTGCAATTAAACTAAGCCGGAAGGGACTGAAAGTGCACCCCTGGTTCACACTGTAGTTTATTTAAAAGGTGAACTGCCCTTCCTGGAGGTTTCCAAGAGAAGCAATCCACCTGTTTTCACGAGGAAAATGGCTTCCATAGGAAAGGCGTGGATCGCAAAGCTTCACCCATCCCTGATGCAGATGGACTCAAGGCTATACTCCGTGGAAGGCAGTTTCACAAGTTCATAAAATCTGCTTTTCAAACACTATAGGCAGCAAGGACTGTTTGTATTCTTGTTTCAGAAGATAACAGTTGAAGGGCAACACCAGCCAAGCTGAACAAACTGATAAACTAAGGCTGCAATTGTATAGGCACTCACTCGGCAGCAAATTCCACCGAAATCAGCAGGACTTCTTAGTAAACATACAAAGGATTGTTCTGTAAAATTCATAGAGTTGCTTCTAGAAATGTTATCTCTGAAGCAGAAAGATTGTTACACATTTGTTTAAACTGAATGAGTGTGAGTGGAGACCTATTACAGTTAAAAGTATATCCATAAATAATATATTTTGAAAGACATTATGTGCCTTTATGTGAGCCAAGGAGCTCATATATCCATCCACACATCCTACTTTTACAAAACCTATATTTTAAATGTTTGAGTTAATCCACGTGATGGAGTGAGCGCCCATCGCTTGTCCCAGCTCCCGCCAACCTAGCGGTTCGAAAGCATGCAAATGCAAGTAGATAAATAGGGACCACCTCGGTGGGAAGGTAACAGCGTTCCGTGTCTAAGTCGCACTGGCCATGCGACCACGGAATATTGTCTTCGGACAAAATGCTGGCTCTATGGCTTGGAAACGGGGATGAGCACTGGCCCCTAGAGTCGAACACAACTGGACAAAAATTGTCAAGGGGAACCTTTACCTTTACCTTTATGTGAGCCAAGGAGCTGAAATATCCATCCACGCACCATACTTTTACAAAAGCTATATTTTAAATGTTTGAGTGAATCACCCAGTTCCATTTCAGGGGAAGCTATGATGTACCTTCTACCTAGAATCTCAGGTAACTACCAATGCAGCCCCTCTGTTTACTCCAAAGCAAGCACCATGGATGAGTGTGTTTACAATCACAACCAATCAGTTCAGTCCTATGTATGTTCACTTAAGAGGTAAGCCTCACACAATTCAATGGGGCTCATTTCCTTATAATCATGTTCATGATTACTGGCATAATCCAGTTAAATGGTACAAAGTCTTGCAGAAAACAGAGAGAGAGGGGGGTCATAGTCTAGGTATGTTCTCTAAAAAGAACAGCAGCTACATGGAACTCATGAGTGTTGATAGTTCCTCAGTGAATCAGACAATGTCTTGAAAAACTCTGCTCCCTCACTCATTCTCTATGAATCACAGCTGCAGGATGATTAACAAGCTTTGGGCCATAATTAGCTTGATTTGTAACAGACCTAAGTGAACTTCCTTAATGACTACCTTGACTTATATAAATGTAAACTGCCACAGTTAGCTCTTGTCCGTTAGAAATATATTTAATACTTAATTAACAATTGTGTGCTGTCAAGTTGATTCTGACTTATGCTGATCCTTTCCAAGGTTTTCCAGGCATACAGTAATTAGATGTGATTTGACATTCACTTCTTCTGGGGCCATTCTGGGAATGTGCGGCTTGCCCAAGGCCACACAGCCTGGCACTTTTCCTACAAGGCAGAGTGAGGAATCAAACTGCTGATCCAAGCATGCCACCTCCCTGAGCTATCCATCCACCTTGCCGACAAGCTGTTGTCATCTGTCATCAAGTCAGAAGAGACATGCAGCGACTCTTTTAAAGTAAGTGAGATACCTGAGGAGTGGCTTGACCAGTTCCACGCCCTCAATGAGTTGGCATAGCTGAGCAGGGATTTGAAACCAAGCCTCCTAGGTCCTAGTCTGTCACTCCATCCACTAGACCACACTGAGTATTCCACCGATACGTTAGGTGGTAGTTATTCCTTTGCTTTGCAACAACTAGACACAGGAATGACAAATACTACATGGCACTGGACTGATGTTAAACCACATTAAAAGAAAGCACTGGGATTAATCTTAAATGTGACAGGGTTAGGGGTCAACATTATTACCTTACATTCTGAAACTATGAATTATGCAACAGAATTAATCTATTGAATACGGTAGAAAATGAACTAGAACATGAATCAAGTAGGTAGTTTTATACATTACGAGTACTGTAATTCCACTAATCTCATGGAACACTTCTTGGCATGCAACCACTACAAAATATATACTAAACTAAGCGATCCATTTTGAATGCCTCTTCTGCAAAAAGCCAGAAATTGTTACTAATCTATAGACGAAAAAGGATTTAGATGTTACTATATAAAGTACTCCAGAGGTCACATTATCAGGAAAAGGATCTCAAGGAAAATGAAGGGAGTAAACATTTTTTTTTTTTCTCACATTCTTAGGCAGGATCATCATCATCATCATCATCATCTTAGAACTGCAGAACTGGAAGGGCCCCATGAATTATCTAGTCCAGGCCCTATCAGGGAAGCTCAGTGGGGGAATTGAACTCCCAACTTTTGGCTCAGCAGCCAGAAGCCTAAACCAGTGAGCTATCTAGCAGGTCACCAACAGCCATACTACCTGGGGATTTCTGTAAATTATATTCCAAAGCCAAAAAGCCAGAAATTGTTACTAATCTATAGACGAAAAAGGATTTAGATGTTACTATATAAAGTACTCCAGAGGTCACATTATCAGGAAAAGGATCTCAAGGAAAATGAAGTTGAAACGTTCTTAAGTTGAAGCAAAATTTCCCATAGGAATGGACTGAAAACCAATTAATCCGTTCTGGCTGTTTTTTGTTATGTAGAGGTGCGTTCGTACATTGAAGCATTAGTTCCCATAGGAACTAATGCAAAGCTGGTTAATACGTACTCTACCACTAGGGGGAGAATTTTTTTTAACCTAAGATGACCTAAGGTTAAAAAAAGAGCAGGAAAGGTTTTTTTTTCCTGTTCTTATCTTGGATTTCTGTTCTCAAGTAGAAGCAAAATTTAGCAAATGGAGCTGTTCTTAAGTTGGATTGTTCTTAAGTAGGGACGTTCTTAAGTAGAGACCCCACTGTAAAGTACTCCAGAGGTCACATTATTAGGAAAAGGATGTCAAGGAAAATGAAAGGAGTAAACATTTTTGTTTTTTCTCACATTCTTCAGGCAGGATCATCATCACCTTAGAACTGCAGAACTGGAAAGGCCCCATGAATTATCCAGTCCAGGCCCTGTCAGGGAAGCTCAGTGGGGGAATTGAACTCCCAACTTTTGGCTCAGCAGCCAGAAGCCTAAACCAGTGAGCTATCTAGCAGGTCACCAACAGCCATACTACCTGGGGATTTCTGTAAATTATATTCCAACGCCACCTATGTGCATACCTCTATCAAAAAAAGCAAAGACAGAGTAAAAGTTACCATATTTGCCTCCTAGTTTAGCAACATTGTAGAACTTCTTGTCTGTATTGTCATCCAATGTTTCAATTAAATTCTGGAACAGGTGATCTGAAAGACAAGGGATACAGAACATTTAAGAGTTTGCTAAATGATTGATACTAATGCAGACTTGGTAGTGAATAAGAATCTTTCTGGCTTTGAATAACTATATAAACCAGAAATGTTTAGCAATCCAGTCTGTTTGAAAGCAGAATCCTGCTTTGTTGTCAAACAAAACACAAGCCAAAAACAAAGTATAATCGCAATGCGAAAATAAACATTTATGACTTGTTTACTTACTAGTACAAGAAGCAGATACACTGCATGCACTCATGATTTTAAGAGTCATAGCTTATAATTCTAAGTAAAAGCTAGGGTAGTGAAGCACAAATTAGGGCTACTGGTCTTTAGTCACTGTGTAATGGATTAAATTTATTCATTCTCTCTCAATCCGCTTGCAACCCTCCACTCTAATTATGCAATAGCAAAGTCTGAAAGCAACAACATCGGTAAGAATGAAATAGCTGCACCACATTTTAATTGAAAGGATTTTCTTACTCTGAAGCACAATACCATATAAATGAGTCAGAATCCAGAGTTAATCACACTTAACTGTGTTATTTCCTGCAGTTCTAAACAACATGTACCTGGAAGGATGATGCACAGAACACATCACGACTATACTTCTAAAGAAGCCTATATAAAGCTATACTCTTAACCTCTTAATGTCATAAGACTGTAACCATATTTTACTGCTCTTGATTATTAAATGAGGAACATAAGAAAGAGACTAAAAATGTTGTACTACAAGGAATTAAATTAAGCATTTGCAGAACTAGAGGTTATGACTAAGTGAATTAATTACTGCACATAGGCTATATAATTGTATTACAGGTTACCCTGTTTCCATGAAAATAAGACCTAACCTGAAAACAAGCCCTAGTATGATTTTTCAGGATGCTTGTAATATAAGCCCTACCCCCCAAAATAAGCCCGTTAAGTGAAACCCTGCCACTATTGCGCAGCAACCAGAAGAAGATGAAATGACTGTAACTGAATAAATATAGATTGCTGTACATGAAAAAAAATAAGCCATCCCCTGAAAAATAAGCCCTAATGTGTTTGTTTGTTTTTTTGGAGCAAAAATTAATATAAGACCCTGTCTTATTTTCGGGGGGAAAGGGTAACTAGAATGTATGTACGTCGTCTTATTTTCGGGGAAACAGGGTAACTAGAATGTATGTACCTCATAAGACTGGTAACATCTTTAAATACTGTTTCTACTAAAATGTTCCATATTATTTATATCAACAAATTTAAAGTTAAGCCTTCAAGCCTGGAAAATATTAAGAATTAAGTGACAGACTGTATAGATATTTTAAAAATAAAACAAGATTTGTAGAAACATGTCTGTTTTAACTAAAGGAGTGAGTTATTTCATCCACTATTAAATGGTGACTTTATAAGGATGAGGTGGAACGTCTACAGGTAATTGATGTCAAGAGTTCCAAAGCTGTAATAATTTAAAACTTTCACACACACAAAGCGGGGGATTCCCCATAATATGCTGATAAATACTAAACCTACGGAAGAAAATTCTTAGCTATTTTCCTCACTGGGGCAGCAGTCATACTTTGTGGCCAAGGCTTCTCACAAAAAGAGAAAAAGAGACAGAAAGACAGCAACCTCCCAGCTACTGCTTAAAATTATGTTCAGTTCCTCTGCTATTTGAGCATACTCATCTCCTGCCAGCAGATAGGACTAACTGCTGAAAAAAAATAGGAGGGTGCATAGAGAAGATTATTAAGAGCAGAAGCAACAAAGTGTGCTGAGCAACCGCAGACACCTGCTCCTTCATATTTTTTTACATCCTGATCTGCTTCTATCAAGCAGATCCTAAAAATCCACATGCTCTTGATGAATACAATAAGGTAGAATTGAGATAGAATAGAGCATAAGGAGAAAAATGTCTACAAAATGGAGAGGAACTGCATGAAACCTAGTACATGGGTACATAAAAGACAAGTAGCTTTATGTTAACGTAGAAAAATAAAATCATGGGAACAGAAAAGCTGTAAAACGTATGCAAAACACTACTGCCCAGTTTTCACTTGGGGAAAGGTAAGCCTCTGTTAGAATTGCACCACTCCAGTAAACAGATAAGATGACTGGATTTTCCTTCTACAATTTCCTATATACAGAAAAGTGGAGAAAAGGTGAAGAACCTGGACAATCTGATGTTAGAAAGCACCTGTTTAATTCTCTGCAAAACAAAACTAAATGGTTCAAGGGGCTTCACCTTTTTGCTGCCTGGTTAGTCTATTTAAAAAATAACAATGAAGCAGCATTCATTTACTCACTACCTGAAGTGTTACAGTCAAGAAAACAGGTTCAGTTACTCAACTGTATATAATAATTAGCCCTAGACCTCTTTTGTTTCCTGCAGGGAAGAAATCCCGACCAATCACACCTCTGCAGGAAACAAGAAAAAGAAAAAAAAAGTCTGCACACAGAGAAAATGAAAACAGCCCTACAGCTTAGGCTTTTCTGTAATGCAACAGCTTTCCACGTGAAGAGGATTATAAAGAATATTTACTAAGGGGACCCCACACCCCCACAATCCTGCTATTCAGAATGACACAGTCCCACCAAAATGGATCCCCTCCCTCTTCCCATTTCACCAGGAATAGGCCTGTCCTTCTATTGCTTAAACTTGGGGGCTAGTTGGGGGGAGGAAGAGAAGGAATCATGGCTGATCAACTGGCAGGGCTGAGTGTTTGTTTTTTCATGCAGGCTTCCAAAATTCCCTGCACACAGAAAGCTAGCAGGTTGGGGAAGAGAATGCAGACGAGGTTTGCAAGGGAGGAGAAAGGAAAAGAAAGGGAAGCAGGGAAAATAGATATTCATACATACATACATACATACATACATACATACATACATACATACATACATACATACATACATACATACATACATACATAAATATATACATGTATACATACACACACAAATATACACATACATACACACATATACATATGTACATGTGTGTGTGTGTGTATAGTATACATATACATATACATATACATATATACATATATATATATATACATATATACATACATATACATACATACATACATATATACACACATACATACATACACACACACACACACACACACACACACACAGACTCACATATACAC